CGATTATCTTAAAATTTCTAACGAAATAATTTTTCAACGATTGCGTAAAGAGAAATAAAATTTTCTATTATATCTCTAAGTATTTTCTCTATCTTTCTATTAAATAAACATATTAAATAAAATTTTGATGCAGAATTAATATGACTTTCTTCCACATCTTGTTTTTAAATATTTATTATATAATATATAATAATTGTCGAATATGTTCGCAAAATCTCGAGGTGTGCGTAAATATTTTCCTTTATCTCCGTCATCGACCGTTACTTTCGACATCTAGTGTATCCGAATTCCTTCATAAACCACGAGCGATTTAATCGCGGACGCTTCGGAGCGGAGCGCGAAAGGATCGGAAACGGCGAACCGGAATCTCGGTTTTACGAACCGGAGTCGGTGTCCTATCATCGTTAAGCTGCGAAACACTCACTTTACGCTCTCCACGACCAATGAGATTCACGATGGTAACCGACAATACTGTTGCACTCGTCGGGCAAGGGAGCCAAGGGACGAAGGGCCACAGGACATGCGCGAGACGGAGCGCGCGGCGAAAAATGTTTAAACCACAAGAGTAAACATCGGACTGGCGAGAGACGACGCCGTATGCCGTGTATGAGACCATGCTGCAGCCAATCTTAATAAGCTGCTTTCACACCGAAAACAAGATGCATCGTGGGGATACAGGGTGCCTGGTTGGTTGGACCAGACAATCTGCGCCGCCTCGCGAACGCGGATGCCTTTTGACGTTTGAGATGTCTTTGTTTTATACAAAATATAAATTATATATATTAACATAACTTATAATTAATATACAATAAATTTTATAAATTATTGAAATGAACTGTTATTGTATTTTGAAACATGCTATAATAGAATTAAATTTTAGATATGCACATATATAGAAATTAAAAATTAAAAATATTTCACAAATATTTCATAAAGAAAAATAAGAAGAATAAAATTTACTACATTAAGAATAAAAAAAAAAAAGATTTAGTAGATTTTTATTCATGGAATATTTATAAAGTAATTCTAATTTTTTGTATTTATATGTGTACATCTAAAACTTATAACTTTATTATAGCATATTTTGTTTAAAAGGAAAAGGATAAAACTAAAGTATATTAAAGAGCACCTTCCCGAAGAAGATAATAATGTTTTCGAAATCATAGAAAGAGAAAGTATTTATATAAAACAAGCGATAGATGGGACATAACTTTGAAACGAAAGCTTATCCGAGGTTTGTCTTGGCCGCTGCAGACTCAATCGGATTTAGGCAGGTTATTAACGAGCAATCTCGGCGGAGCGATAATTTCGTGAAGGATCGATAGAATATTTATCAGCGGCATTCCCGAGTCTCGGCTTCTCCTCGCCTCGGCAATTAATCGTCGTCCCCCGAAATAGCGGCTCTCTCGTCAATATCGTAACACTGCCAGCTACCGGTCGACGACCCCCATGCAACTATGTAACCGATGTATTTCGAGTAAATATTCCAGATAAATCTAGATTTACCTCATTCGCGAGTGCGAGAGTCTATCCTTAGGCGAAAAACCGCGATAAAGCGCTAAAGTTGCAATGCGTTGCATTTTCCGCGGAATCGTGGCTGATTATTTTGCATTATACGCCGCTTTTTCCTAAACGATTTACATACTTATCAAGATACATAGAAAACTAATTTCCATTGAACTGGATATATCGCTCGCATTAATTAAAAATAATTGCGAGAATAATCATAAAAAAACATGCTATTTCTGTTATTTATTATTATCGAGTCTATTATTTATTGATTCACCGAGAAGTAAACGACACTTCTTTTTCACCTTATCTTGAAATATAATTTCAAATATCAGATTTTTATAAACGCGCGGGATGAAATGTCAGAAGTGTGATATAAAACATGACAATGACAAATGTACGTAAAAAAAAAAAAGATACCGTTCTTTGTCTCTAGCAAATTTATATAACTTTGTAAAAAGTGGAAAAAATGTAAAAAATGTACCTTGTAAAAAATTTTTTTAAAGTCACTAGAAATTTTTCTAAAAGGTTTTTGATTTAAAGTACTTGAAACCGACACTTTATTGATATAAAAACAATCGAAATTAAAGTGTCCTATCACGTCTCTGTGAATGCTGCTTAATCTAAATTCCGCACAAAGGCAGGCATCCGATGAAAAGGAACCTGCCGTCGGGGCCCGCATCCTCCCTCCAGGCCCGAACCTAATTCATCTCGGAGCCCCGCAGGTCCTGCTATCACCTTGCCTGTCACTAATGCGACACTTCTGAGAATTTCAGAAACGACGCATCTGTCATCCGCAGCTTGCTATGGTCTCACTCGACGTCCTTTTCTCAAATTGAAATGGAAAAATCTTTCTACATTAGCGGACTTAAGAGTGGAAAATTACTTGTGATTTATAAGTTTCAAACGATTCGGCGAGATTTTTAACGATCTTTGGAAAACTATGAATCTGCCTAAAATTTAATTTTTCTCGTATATTTTATATTAATAAAAAATATTTTTATACGCGAATATTAAAAGTATTTTTAAACATTATAAAAAAAAAAAAAAAATACTATTATTTCGCATACCATTTCTTTCTAATTTATTATATGGATCAAATTTATTTATGCCCCACTTTTAAAACTGACCAAGTGAAACGTTTCGCATCACATGTCTTTGCTACCTAGTTCCACTTCATAAACACGGTTTTAGAAAATTAGACCGAAACTGTGAAGGACATATTCAGTTGCTAAAACCTGGCAAATCGAGTCATGTGTGAACAAGATATATAAAAATAATGAGAATTTAAGAAAGTGAAGGAGCCAGAAAACGGTACCGAGTTTCTTAAGCCTTTCAAGGATAGCAAGCATATGCGTATCAAATAGTGCGAGTGCTGGAGTCTCTTTACGCAACTTTATTGCCTGGCATATACAGAATTTTATTGATATAAATAAACAAAATTGTATGCTGATTATCAAATATGTAAGAATTTTTGCTCCCATTTTTTTTATTATATATAGTAGATATATGTATTTAATAACGTTCTAAAAAGGGACCAGAATTTATGTAATGTACACGCAGTTGTGTAATAGAAATAGTATAAACTCAATCTTTCTTTCTTTTTCTTTTTGGAAAAATTTTTCTCGACGTCATTTCACATTTTTAATATTCAATCTTAAATATCATTGTAAATCAAATTAATTTAATCCTCAAAAATAAGATTATAAATTAAGATAAATTAAGATTCCTCACTAAAATTTATTAAATTAAAAGAAGCATATCTATACCGGTTTTCAACTTTGCTTTATAGATTTTCGAGTTCCAATAACATAAGCGAAAAAAAAAAAGATATCATTTCTATATTTCTTATGTAATCATCTCCAAATTATCTTAATGAAACGCGGAAATCTCAAGCCTCGGGAAAAATAACGCGCGCACGAAACAGTATCACCATTGTCACGTCGATCTCGAAAAACGCGCTGAAGTGCGGAATTTCATTGACAACGACAAAAGCGATCTACCGAACAACCGACACGATTCCGCACGAGTGAGCTTACTGTTTCTTCAGCGAGGCATGTGACGCTTCTTCCGATACTTCGACGGGATTCTTGCGAGGTACGCGGATCGATAGTACACACCTGTGTACAATCATCACCTGAGAAATACCGTTGTGGCTAGACGCCGCGCTACGGAAGCCGATGCAAACTGATTGATTCTTTTTATTGTATTTTTTTTTTTTATATTTTTAATACTAGAGCATCTGATTAATGCTCTGGTAATAAAATTAAGAATTTTACAAAAAGTGGAGTTGATCAGTTTGATTTCTGCAAGATTTCTCCGTTCGTTGCGCGAGATCGAGCGAGATCGTTTTCACGAAAACTAATTTCTTTTCCGGTAAATCTAACGCGATAATGAGAGATCTATGCTTTCTCAGTTTCGTACAGAAAAGAATCACTCGTGACTCACGCTCATGACTGCTTTATTCGCGTTTTTATTATCGCAACTCGAGAAAAAATGGATTTATTATATAAGGTCATATTAATAATTATATATAAGATCATATTTGGCCATATATAATTATATCCGAAATTTCGGATATTTATTTATTTATTTATTTATTTAAACGGGAAGATCCCTTTAGTATATAACAGTAGTTATTAACATCAGCAAAAGACACAGAAGAATAACAGTATAACAGATTACGGTAATAAAATGTTTAGTGCAAGCAAATGGCTAATGAATGTTTAAAAGAGTTAATAGACATCTGAAAAAATTATAATGGATATAATTATGTATGGCCAAATATAATCTTATATCTATTTTCTCTTGGGAACGCGAGCAATAGTTACGGGATATACCGCTGCTCCTGTTAATTGATAATGTTAGTTTCTCTGTGCACGGAAAAACTGGTGAAACGAGCCGTAAAAATATTAAATAGACATGCCTAGTAAATGCGTCGTAAGTAGTAAATAAATCGGAATAATTAATGACACGTAAAAAAGATTGCGTCAAATCGTTTGATTTTTCTGCTGGAAATAGTCACCCTCGAGATATCGAATACTTTAAATATCGTCAGATATATATCCTTGAATAAATCCTTGGATATATTTTTAACTATTTTATCACAAGATTCTCTTGACGTTTTAATAAATGAATCAAGAAAGTCGAAAAGAAACGTGAACTAATCGATGTTCCACATTTCCTTAACCTTATGATCCAATATTTTCAAAATAGATATCTTAATCAAAAAAGATAGCGAGTGCCTAAATATAGAATGAATCATATATATAATCCGATATTCTGATTATTTTTTACTAAAGCGATCTAATAATTTACTTTGTCTTCTTTCGATTAATGTATTATATAAAAGAAAAGAACCTACAAAAAAATATAATGTCTTTTAATTAATCTCTTTCTCTCTCCCTTAAAAATTCTCAAGATTACGCTGACATTTTTAAATAATCAGTATGATCGATATATGAGTCATCTAATGTATCATTTCCACGTACCTCATTCATCTGCTTGCAGGGGGAAGGCACTTTGGCGGAGAGTTCCCTCAGGAGGTCCTCCGAAGTGCTCCTCGCGACCTCAGCCATTCTTCCGGAATCGTCGTCCGCGCCACGTGCGGAATCGGAGGTGATGACGCTTTCCTCGCCGCAGCTGCCCTTCTCCCTCGACCGCTGTTCGTGCTTCGAGAGCAGCTCGCGTTGCTTCTGGAAGAACTCGGGCTCGCTGAAGCATTTCTCGAGGCTGGCGGCGCGCTGAAGGGTCGTCGGCGAGCTTGGCGTCGAGCGCGAAAATTCGAGCTCGTCCCGCAGTAAATTTTCCGCGCTCTTGTTGCATATTCGCGGTGGATCCTGATCGCGGAACGCTCTCCGTTGCCCCTTCGATACTTCGCACATCGCGCGCTAACCAAATAATGCTTTTTGTCGGGAGGAAGTTACTCGACGCGCGTCCAACGTCATTTTACGCGAACATTTCTCTCGGACGTGTCTGAAAGAAATTCAAAAATTATTCATCATATGCGTTATGAATTAATAAACAGAATCGTATGGCAAATGTGAAATTCGCGCCTATATCGATAGTTATTTTAAAATGTTATCGCACACACACATTTTTTAAATATATAATTTGCTGTACCGCGTATCCTAATATGTATATATATATATATATATATATATATAACAACATCAATAAATCTCGCCAATAGCCGCAATATAAAAAGCATCAATAATAAAATAAGTAACGCAATATTTTTCATAATTCCTTTAGTAAAATCTATAATTTACCATGATATATATATGTACATATATTTTACTTCTTCAACTATTTTCTGTATTAGACGGTATATAAAATTATAAAATAAAACTCTGTTTCAAATTCCGTGGTAAATGATAGATTTGTTTACTAAAGGAATTATGAAAAATATTGTGTTACTATTTTATTATTGATGCTTTTTATATTGCGGCTATTGGCGAGATTTATTGATGTTTTCGCATAATACACGGTGGTAAGCTTATCTCGAAACGGTTCGAAACACTACTACAGACATAGTACCGAAACGTGCGTTTCCGCCAAATAAATCGACCCACACATACTAAATATACTTCTCTGACGACGAATACATATCTCAATAATACGCGTGTAATCACAATTCGCTTGTTTCTCGCGTGCGTGAGAACTTTCGACGCAAATGAAAAGTGGCGATGCGATTCGCGCTAAAACGATGCCTAGTTTCAAAAGATTAGGTTAGGTTAGGTTAGGATCGTTATTGCGCGCGGACAAGATAATACGGCGAACAGGGAAATATGTCGTACATCGACACGTATACATACCTGTCGTTCAACGAGATCCTCGCCGAGGACGAAAGAGAGGCCAGCTATTCCGTCTGTCACCGTCAACACGACGCGCACAACCACCACCAGACGCGAGACTGGTGGAGGGACGGCCACCCCGCGTGCGTCATGCGGAAGGACATCTGTTGCCCCTTGCCCGCGACACCCCTCGATGAGCGAGAGATCTCTATCCATCTCTCTCTCTCGCGTACGCGGGATCGTTACGCTCGCACCACGCACGCGTGACGTACAGGGTCGCGCGTCGAGTAGGGAGAGCCCCGGTATCCTTGATGACAACGTCAACAAAAGTTGTATTTACCTGCCGGCAAAGAGAAATTAATTTCAAAACACGATAAAAAATTAATTTGAAATATAAGTTCAAGAAAAACTATTATATCTTAAAATAACGAAATAATGTTTTTCATAATATAATCTAAATTCTTGCAACAGGTCTGTTTAATAAAATGTTCCTGATTTTGCGAATTTTATTAATCTTCTTTTCATCGAAACATGAACTTTTACTTCAATAATATGCATATTATGTATCATGTATAAAATTATTAATTTATGTAAAGTAAAGTACAAGGATGCATCCCATGCAGAAAGGTCTTCTAAAAATTATTTACGTCACTGGTGCTTTTACATCTATCTTTCTCTCTGTCTCCTTCATCCATTCCCCTCTCCCTTTTACTCTTCTACCTCCCTTTCCCTTTATTATTACCATCTTCTCTCTCTCTCTCTCTCTTTTACTCTATTCTGTGCTATCTGCTTTCCTCTCTCTTCTCAGTTATCCTTCGCCCTTTTCATCCCCTTATCTACCCAATTCACGCTCCCTTCCTCTCTATCATTTCTTTTTATTTACGTTACGCCTTTCTTTCTCTTTCTCTGCGCTATGCTTTCGATCTTCTCCATAAAAAAAGTTGTGGGAAACTCGTGAATTATGCCGGGGGGCACGTAGGCGAGACGACGAGGACGGCGTCGCGACGACGCCTAAAATGCTTGTGCGTCAATCGATCCGCGACGTTCGCCAAAGGAAGAATCCTTCGGTCGCATTTCGCGTCTTTATTAATCGCGAAAAATTCATTTCGTCTTTTGTATTCATTGATTTCATTTTTTGGAAATTGTAAAATAAAACCACTGTCCATCTACATATATACAAAATGATTTCGTTAGAAATTATAACATCTTTGTGTCTTTTACATACGGATTTTGATAATAATCTTGCAAATTGTCTGTCATGTCTAAATGTCTTCACCCTTTTTGACAATCTACATAATGAATTAGTACACACACAATAAATATTCCAATTTGAATATTGCTTAAAGATAATTTTTTTTTTAAATTTGTGTTACTTCGAATAATCAAGCGCATAGAACAATGAATTCTCGTTAATAAGATATTATAATATTCATTATTTAAATTCAAAAATCTAAGAATACATATATATATATATCAGATTGAAATTACTATTATGCATTTATTTACAAGTTATGCAATCTCATGTTATTTAATTCTAGTCAAACTTACAAATTTTATCTAGATATATAGCCCCCGATATACAGCGCATATATAAAGTCTTATACAAATATTTACTACATTTTGCACAATATATAAACTATTTAAATTATAAACATACTACCGTCCGGGTACTTTTGCATAGCTGTGTATATATATACATGTATATCTTAAAAATATGTATCCAGAAGAAGGGATATAATATTTATAATTTAATACTAATGGAAAACATTTAAGCTTGGTGACATTCTTTAGTCGTCCGTTAATAATCAAGTCAAATATGTGTTCTGAGCTGTTTTAATCCAAAAATATTCGATTTTGAATCTATTCTGAGAGTAGATTTAAAAAAATTATATTATGAAAATAATGTGGCTGATAGAGTTTGAAGTAGCATATCAGTGATATGTCAAACTTATTAATAAAACGCAATTGCATAAAAGACTTTACAAGTGACCAAGAAGAAGCAGGAATAAATAAATCAATAAATATTCAGACTCCTGCGGACTGTAAATCAAATGTAATATCTGAAAAAAACAAAAATAACCACCGATTCTATGAAAAATTAACTGGACCAAACTATTGATTCTAAAAAAAAAACGAAGTGAGATATAAATTATTATTTTCGAACGTTGCAAGTTTTTGTTTCTATAAGTAATATCTATCAGCGACATTAAAAAATAAGAAAAAAGGAAGAGTTTAAAAATATGTGAACATAGAAAAAATATATATATACGTATAGTATAAGCACATTCCATTGGCAATTTATACAATAAAACAATACAATAATTAGTCCGACTTATAAAAATAATTACCTTAAAACTATTTTTTGTGATTTTTAAAATTAAGCAAGCAGAAATTAAACAACAATCTCCTATCGAATCCGACACGATGTTGACGTACATTGTCAATATAAGAATAATTGCGGAAATCGAGAATTGTTATTGAAAGTTACACAAGATATGTAAGCACAGACAATAAATATAGAAGATCAGATATTATGCGATGTATGTTCGAAATTAAACCGATAGAAAAATGTGTGAATATATACCATGATTCTTAACTTTCTTATTTGCGGGAATTTTGTCCGCTCGATGACATTCCTTCAAACGTCGTCTGTTTACAAGCTGACTATAAATACGTGTTCTGCACAGCTGTTTAATTTGTACTGTCAGAATAATTCTTCTTCGTCATCTCTTTTGTAAGTATTTTTTGCCATTAATATATCTTTTTCCAATTCCTTAAAGAGACTTTCAGTTAAAAGATACAAATATATAAAAAAATGTTGTGTGATATTATTCAGTATATTTATAAAATCTTTTCTAAGATCTTTATGTATATTCTTGTGTGTCTCTATTACATATTATAGTTACGAATAAAAAGATGGAAACATCATAAAACCGCGAGAATAATCTTTATCTTATGATATTGCAATCTTTACAATCATATAACGTAATTTCATTCTTGTTTCTGCTTTTTTTCGTAGGTTATTATCATGTCCGAAATAAGAGAAAAAATTAAACAGTACCTTCAATCAAAAAAAAAGCTGGACCGAATAGCACGATATGTTTACATTAAAGATCGAAATATACGTATCGCGGCAGAGCGTTACGGAGTTATATATACGCATCTTCAACAAAAAGTCGACATCATAAAAAGATTGTTGAACGATTTCAAACTAGGATGTGCGTTGTATAGGGCGGTACAAAATGTGTTAAGTGCAAAAGAAACTATAACCGAAGCTGCAATACACTATCAACTTGACCCCAAGATTTTAAGTAAAGAAATTAATCAACACAAAAAATTCGGGAGAAAATCGTACATATATGATAAACCTGTAGATGTTAATACAGGAATTTTCACATTTGACGAAGAGTTATTGTTACTGAAGCGTTTATCTGAAAAGAAATGGGGAAAGAAATCTTTATATTGTGCTTGTCAAATTTGTGCGATGGAATTACTTCTAAATCTAGCTTATGAGCTTGCCCGAGAAAAAAAAAAGCGATATCCTGAAGCATGGTATAAACATAAACGAGCTGATATAGACTGGCTAATAAATTTTGAAATGATACACGGTATTAAACTTTCAATAATGTTTTCATCTAAATGTAAAAAAGAATTATCTTAATCTTTAATAATCTTTGTTATTATTTCATAAGAAAGACATATTTTGGAAATAAGTAAAACTTGCATGAAAGATATTTTAATTTACCACAAATTTTCAATTAATTGATTCGGCGTGAAGCGATCACGCAAACATCTTAGAAAGTATCCACTGCTTTCAGAAGTTATAAATCAATGAACCTATGAAATAGATTGATTAGAAATACATAATCCTTAAAGAAGAGACTCTCACAGAATTCGCCAATTCTGTAAATGACTAGTATATGGACTTATTGAAATCAATTAATTGTAATTTATAATATTTTAGCGTTTTCAGTGAAAGAAAATCGTTAAAAAAATGCAAGAAAAAGAAAAAGAACACAAAATTTCTATCAGATAATAAATTGAATCTCAAAATATAATATAAATCAATATTTTTGCATATTACTTCGTTTGTTGATATAAATAAAAAAAAAACGCTTTCCATTTCTCGAAAGCACATGTAATCATGTTCTCTCTCTCTCTCTCTCTAATCAATGTACTAGAAAATTTATAAAAAGCAATATTAATATCGACAGTAAAAATAATGATTTATAATTCGATGAATAGAAGTATAAAATCGCATTTGAACAATTGTAATTACAGTAACATCCAAATAGGAGAATTTTATGATATAATCCATTCGTTATTTTTAAAATTGTAAATAGAAAACGTAAAAAAAAAGAATTTACATTATATATTTATATACTTAAAAATCTTTTTTTATGCGTATTGACCATGTTTCTCGAACTGTCATGATAATTGTATATGATCGTAACATGTAATAAAATGTAGTAAAAATATTATAAAATCATGTAAAAAAATATACAAAATTGTATATGTATAAAAACGATTGTTCATATATATATCATGTTATATATATATATATTAATCTTAAAAATTACGTATGTTTAATTTTTTCAATCTTTTTAATAATCTAGTGGCACAACATAGTGCAACAATGCAACAAATAATCGTTTTTAAAGATAATTACTTAAATATAATAATTTTTCGTAACTTTTCTTGAAAATAACATGTTTGAATTGAATATATAAATAGATATACTATGAACAAAATGGATTTTTATATATACGGCAATTAAAGCGATAAATGCAAAATCCATTGTAAATTCTCACGACGATGGGAGATAAGTAAAAAATGTAATCGTGTCAAACATATATATATATATATATATATATATATATATATATATATATATGTTCTGTAATTTTAATGTTTACTTTATAAACTATATGTTGACAATGATTGACACTATATCTTTTTATTTATCTTATCTAATATTAGATTAAATAACCAAAATCTGAATACCATGTGTTAATAATTAATGTTGACATATAATATAAAATTATCTACAAACAACAATTGTATCTGTTAATTCCTTGCAAAACAATATCTTACATCAAATTAATTTGTTAAATGGATTGTCGTTATAGCTTGATAAATTGTGTAAAAAAGATTAACGTATAAATAAATTATTGTCCTGAGTTTTATATAGAATTATGTAAAATTCGAAAGAGAAGTTATGTATTTTTCAGGTCATATAGAAAAAATGTATTCATCTAGAGACCGAATCTGAAAGCATATACGATTTACTTTACGAACACTAACGGGGGCTTTAAGTTAGGCCGTTTCGTGACATTATTTCAGTTGCCTTCTGTTTACAACCAGACAAGTACGTATCGTTCCAAACAGTCATATAATTCTTATCCCGAAATATTTATCTTAGGATCTATTTTGTAAGTATACGCTAATTATATCTTTCTCTGATTTTATAGAAGTATGTATAAACAGTCAATTATGAAAGCATTTGCAAAAGCGCCCAAAATTTGGCAGATTGATTTATTATTTCTTCTGAATATTTACTCCAAATCTGAGCACATGTTTTTAAACGATTTAAAAATTATGTAATTTTTTTGTATTTATTATTATAAGTATTATTATATAATTATTAAATTATTACAATTTATTATTATAAAAATTTGTACATAACAATACTGACTGATAAATTTGATAAAGAAGAAATACTGCCATATTATTAATATTGACAAGACTCTAACGTACATTTAAAAACCGCGAAACATAATATCGATCATTAAATGTCTCTAAGAACGATTTCTATCCAAAAAATTTTTCCTGCTTATTCTCTTCTTGTTTTTTTTGCGTGAATATTTACATTTAGATATTTACTTGAATTGATTAGGAGAAATAGTAATTGCAAATGTTTTCATAAATCATAACATTAAAAGCCATATTACATATGCGATAAATTAACTATGCATAATTCACATCTATCTATTTGAAGTTCTTGATAAATCTTTAAGAAATACATTGTTTTTAAACATCAATTCTAATTTTTGAGTAATATTGCATGTCTTTGTTTCTATTATTAATCTACAAAAAAATTGTGTTATAAATATTCAAATAAACTGCAATACTCTGTATAAATCTAAATATTTTTTATATCATATAGATATATTTATAAAACTCTCTCTTTTTGTTTCACAAAATATTCTCAGTGACTGTACAATCATAGACAAACAAATTGAAATATTGTAAGATGTAAGAGGTCAAATCTTATTATTTTCATCTTATAATATTATAATCTTTTAGTTTACGATTATATAACAATTTTTTTCATTTCTGCTTTCTTCATAGGTGATCATAATGTGGAAGACCGAAAACAGGAAGAATGTTATAAGATATCTTATATTAAAGCCGAAGCTCGATATAGCAGCGACACGTGTTATAAATGAAAAATTAGATATAGATAGCACAGCAACAAACTACGGACTTTACAGTAATATTCTTAAACAAAAAGTCAACATCTTAAAAAGATTGAATGATTATTTCGAAGAAACTCTTTTATATGAAAATGCAGTAAGAAGTGTTATGTATAATTACAAAACTCTGCCAGAAGCAGCAACATATTACAAACTTAGCACCAAAATTATTACAAAAGAAATTAATCAATATAATAAATTATGGATGGCTGGTAAAACGAAAGGTCCGTACGAATATGACAAACCCTTAGATGACCAAGGCAGAGTTTTCACATTTAAGGAAGAGCTATCGTTATTGGATGACTTATGTGAATGGAAATGGAAGTCTGCATCACCGTGCACTTGCCTCATTTGCGCGATGGTAGAACTACTCAGTCTAGCTTATCAGACTGCTCAAAAGAAAAATAAATTATATCCTGGAACGTGGGATATATGTCAGCAAGCGGATGGAAATTGGCTGATAGCTTTCGAGATGGCGCACAGCTGTAGATTTTCAAAATTATATCCTCATTACAACAATAACGTACAAGAATTAGACGAAGCATGTAAGAATAAACAACAACCCTCATCATTATGTGATGAGAGCAATACTTTTAAGATACCAAGTAGTACCCAAGTAGTACCCTTTCGTAAAAGAAAGTTTAATAATTCGCTCAATATTGATGAAGCGACTACGCAAACATCTCAGATAACAATATCCACTGTTGTTCCAAATCACCAGAACACCAGTGAATTAAAGAATTTATTATTGTCAGATATCTCGATAAAGTCGGAGAATAAAGAAGAAACAGCATCTGCCAGTTTTCTAAATGATCAATTTGAGAACACGCCGGCGCCGCTTGATTTAATAAATAAATTAATAAATAAAGTCGAGGTAGCAAGTAATTACAACATTTCGGAAAAAGAAAATTTCGATCCATCGCAAGCTTACAACTCTAATGTAACATTTTAAAAGATAACATGCAATCTCCATGGAAATGATTAGCGATGAATGAACGGTTTCATAAAATTACAGAAATTACAACTATTTTTGCATAAAAACAAATCCTTAAAGAAAAGATAACGTTCCGATTCCATGATAAGCCAATAAACCTATTTAACGCTTTAAAAAAAAACACACAATAGAAGAGGGGAGAAGGAAATATATACCAATATGACAGATCATTAGATCACCCAAATTTTCACATTTATAAGGAGGAATTTTCATTATTAAAATCCTTAAATTTTGGGAAAGTTACTATTTTGCAGTTGTGCACTTTACGCGATGGAAAAATTGTTGGATATAGCTTATCAATTTGCTCGAGATAAAAAGAGAATATCCGCAAACATGGGATATTGAGAAAAGAGCGACTGCAGGATAGGTAATAGGTTTCAAAATGACATACAGCAGTCTAATTCCGCAGTTAGTTTTGAGTAATGAATGCTTCAGATCTTCAGTAAATCGAACTTTCTTGTTTTTGTTTTATTATGAGGAAGAAAGAGAAAAAAAAAAGGAAGAAGTTTCTAAATTACTATTATATTGAGAAAAAAAAGTTATTAACTTGACTAAATGCATTCAACTGATTATTATTTCTTTAATTGAAATATTTAAATATTTGAATTAAATACGATATATTAAATCTAACATGACGTATATCTGATTTAATTACATTTTTAATATTCCAATTTAAAAAATGATATAAAATATCAATTTAAAAAATGATACAAAATATCAATTTAAAAAATGATACAAAATGTAATCAGTTAAACGCATTTAGTCAAGTTAACAGCTTTTTTTTCTCAGTGTAATAGAATCAGAAACATACACAATAACTCAAAAGTCTCACCTTGAATTTTCTTTTTCTGCAATGTTGAAAAAATCTCCGTGTATATTGTATCTCCGTATAAATGTTTCAAATATTAATATTCATAATTTTTCTGAAAATGACTGGCAAGCCTACAGATTTATTGATGACTAGAAATGATACTTGGAAAAAAAAAAGACCATTGTACCTGTAAATTCTAAAATTTATTATTCATCGACTTGATTCCATTTTTTCCAAATGCAAAATTATATATAATCTTACATTCTACCAACTTATATACATATTTTACTATTTACGTCATGTATATGTATTTGAACCTTTTCCAACTTACTTCACAAAATATTTAGTACGCTCGAATTTTTCAATCATTTCTGTAATACTACTAAATTTTATTACTTCTAGTTTTAATGTTTTAAATAATAAAATATTGTATCGCAAGCATTGAAAAAAGCGTTTCTTGAGATTTATTTTCACCACAAAATTTATTTTAAGATGTAGCCACGTTTTAAAAACTCTGGCGCCATCATGCGTCATCGTCGGCGAACATGTTTTCGCTGACACTGACTTATCGAGGTCTCCTCGACGAAGCAAAGCGATAACCTGTCGTGATAATCAGCGATAACCGGTATAGAGTTTTACCAGCTTTACGTTCACCGCCGTGAAATCTTTTCTCTTTCTGTCCCCCTTCTGATATCGGGATTCAAGGTATATTTTGAAAGAGATATGATGCAAGCCGGTCTATGGAACTTGGTCACCACCTCGATCAGGGTAAGTCGCGTATAAGAAGATATCCGATGATCATCTCGTTCGCATCTCTATCGTGCGAGTGATATTTTTCATTTAGGTATCTCTTTCGTAACGTTTTGTGGGACATTTCATCGAGCATCTTTTAATTTATTTGAGAGAAATCTTTTTAGTTATGTTTGCACTGATCGTCTTTCAGATTCTAAGAATTTGATAAGAATTTATTAAATTTATATCGCAACGTAAAGATATTTTCACAGATTGATTATGTCATTGCTTTCCCTATATATTAGTTTCCATTGGATCTGTCTTTTTAGTTATGCTATGTCAATTACTCTATATGTATTCAAACTAATAAAATGGTGAAGAGAGAAAAATTGAAAGAAAATGCAACAAAAATAAATAAAAATATAATGACAGCAGAATGATAAAAGACTTTAAATATCATCATTTATATTATAATGTATATATACTTTCATTTCTCTCTCTTTTCGCGAATTACCAGATTTCTTTCATTTGAATATAGTTATCTATACATGAGCAAATATATGTTATAATATTGTTTTTGTTTTTTTATAGCCGACATGCATAAAGCGTGTCCTCCCGGGCATGACAGCTGCCCAGCAGCGCAGGTACGCAAGTACAATAGATACAGATATAGTCGTGATTGGGGCTGGTCCAGGTGGATATGTAGCAGCGATTAAAGCCGCGCAACTGGGCATGAAGACAGTATGTGTAGAAAAAGGTCCTACTCTAGGAGGCACATGTCTTAACGTTGGTTGCATTCCTTCGAAATCACTTTTAAACAATTCACATTATTATCATATGGCACACAGTGGAGATTTGGCAAATCGTGGAGTTGTTGGTATGTGATTAAAGTAGATAGATCTTCTATCAGTAACCGGATTGTAATAATATCATAAAATTTTGATGTTTTTACAGTATATTGGTATGTGATTAAAGTAGATAGAGAGAGATCTTCTATCAGTAACCGGATTGTAATAATATCATAAAATTTTGATGTTTTTACAGTATCAGATGTTCAACTCAATCTTAACAAACTTATGGAACAGAAATCTAATGTGGTCAAGGCGTTGACCAGTGGTATAGCAGGCCTATTTAAGAAAAATAAAGTCGAGTGGGTCAATGGCCATGCAAAAATTACTGGCAAGAACCAAGTCACTGCGCTAAAATCTGATGGATCAGTGGAATCGACGATCAATGCTAAGAATATTCTGATAGCGACCGGTAGCGAAGTTACGCCTTTTTCTGGTATCGAAATTGACGAGAAGCAGATTGTATCCTCGACAGGTGCATTGTCGCTTAACGAAGTTCCCAAGAGACTCATTGTCATCGGAGCTGGAGTCATTGGATTGGAATTGGGCTCGGTCTGGCAAAGGTTTGTTTTAAAAATATACTTTATCGAAGAAAGATAATTGTTGCATTCTTGCTAATTATCATTTTTACAGACTGGGTTCCGATGTTACGGCCGTTGAGTTCATGCCGACAATAGGCGGTATAGGTATTGATGGAGAAGTCAGTAAAACGATGCAGAAGATTCTAACCAAGCAGGGTCTAAAGTTTAAACTAGGATCCAAGGTTACAGCTGCTAGCAAACGTGGTAATGAGATCGTAGTTTCCGTTGAAGACGCGAAGAATTCTAATAAAAAGGAAGACTTGGTGTGTGACGTATTGCTAGTATGCGTCGGCAGGAGGCCGTATACGCAAAATCTAGGTTTGGAGGACATGGGCATCGAGAGGGATGAAAAAGGAAGAATACCCGTAAACAATCGATTCCAGACGGTAGTACCTAAGTAAGTACAACTTTTTAAGTCGGCAATAAAGCGCCATTTGTTTTTAATTTCCTCTGTCTATAACTTAATGATTTCGATGATTTTAATTGTTGTTTTACTATCGTAATTTAATTTACAGTATCTATGCTATTGGAGATTGCATTCACGGACCAATGCTGGCTCATAAGGCCGAGGATGAGGGAATAATCACAGTGGAGGGTATTGCCGGAGGTGAATCATCGCTTACATCTTAAATATAATCTTTTCTTTTCTCATATTTGATCCTTAATAAAATATAAATTATTCTAACTTACGATGCAGGCGCGGTTCACATCGACTACAACTGCGTGCCGAGTGTAATATATACGCATCCGGAAGTGGGTTGGGTTGGTAAGACGGAGGAAGATCTGAAGAAAGAAGGCATCGACTACAAAATTGGCAAGTTCCCATTCATGGCGAACTCGCGGGCGAAAACAAATTTGGAAACGGACGGTTTTGCTAAAGTACTCGCCGACAACAATACGGATAAGATCCTAGGCGTACATATGATCGGGCCAAGCGCGGGCGAGCTCATCAACGAGGCGGTTCTCGCAATGGAGTACGGTGCCAGTGCGGAAGACGTTGCCCGCGTATGCCATGCACATCCAGTAAGTATTTAATATTGATTTACGAGAGAGTTTTACTTTGTACATGAGATTCCTTCGATTTTTTTTTATATATATATCATCTAGATATTTTCTAAGGACTTTTCGAATTTAATATCATTATTGAGGAAGAGTGTAAAAAAATCTGAATTAGATTATTATACTTGCTATGCTTCCTAATGTGAATCTGTTTTACAGACATGTGCTGAGGCACTCAGAGAGGCTCATCTGGCAGCTTATTTTGGCAAACCCATCAACTTTTAAATTACTACAGAGAATAAATGACTCATTACACTTGTTAGTTCATATTTTCACTTTGCGTTTAGCACTAAACGTGTCCGTTCTAAACTTTACTGGGATTGTATATTGCACGGACAAACACGTTTAAAATCCACGCTGAATGCACCATGGGAATGTACAGCCCATTTGACATCTCATCGTAGCCTCAATCTAGTCTACGTATCAATGTCATACATTGGGCAAATTGTAGCGCGTTGTCGCTTAATCGCATAAGAGATTGTAAATAAAAGTTTGAAACTATTATGTGCAGAGGTAATGATCAATTTGTCTCTGCCAAGTAATTAGTGTATTTATTACGAATAAATAAAAGATGTGATTATAACTAAATCCTTCAAATCGTTCATTTTAAAGACAAAAAAGTTAAAAGATTATACAGCATACACAAAACCGAATTTAAAGTAAATAAGATTTTTAAGCAAATCATATTAGTTTAAAGAGAAAAAAATTCTCACGTATTTTAAAAAGAAATTTGTTTTCTTAAGAAAAATTACTGAAAATTTTACTTTCTTTCATAAGCTTTAAAGTTTAAATCAATTCGTTATATTTGCTTATGATTTCTAAATTTAATTTTAATCATGAATGCATTCATTTTGACTATAAGATAAAAAGTAATTTCTAATGTTTTTTAATCACATTTCTTAAAGTTATTTTTTTTGATTGATTTGATTACGCGAAGCTTTCATTAGTATGTTTTTTTTACATGAATGGACAATGGACTATCTTTCGTGTTGATCAACAGAACGTACGCGCATGCGTGCTATGACGAGTCTCATGTCTCGTGTCTCAGTCTCACGCCCTCACGCGTGCATAAAAACCGAATGGAAGGGAAGAATAACGGTGATTGACATCGCGTCTATATAACTTGTCATCGCGGAACAAGTGTTTTTATTATAACAAGCTCTGTCAAAGAGAACGAATTATTATCCAATGCGTTCACAAAGCTACGCAAGAATTAAACTCAAAATTTCCATCGCTCATCGAAAGGGCTAGAACGGAAATAAACCGACGCTAAATCTGAATCATTAACCTCTCTGGATGCTTCAGAAGTACAAGATTAGACGAAAAACTGGATTAAAGTACGTGATTTTATCCTAATGGGAATATGAGGTTTGTACTTATGATGTTTTTTCTTGGACGAATAAAGCGTATCTAATCTCAAAGTGAGATATTTATGATTCCTTCGTGTTGCTTACAGCTAACCTCAACATGAGCTATAACAAGAAAGTCGCATACTTTTATAACCCGGAGGTGGGTAACTTCCATTACGGGCCGGGCCATCCCATGAAGCCCCATCGGCTGTCCGTGATCCACAGTCTGGTGCTCAACTATGGTCTCCATAGGAAGATGCAGATTTATCGGCCGTACCGTGCCAGTACCCACGATATGTGTCGCTTCCACTCGGAGGATTATGTGGAATTTTTGCAACGCGTTACTCCACAGAATCTACAAGGCTACACCAAGTACCTGAGTCACTTTAACGTGGGCGACGACTGTCCCGTGTTCGACGGTCTCTTCGACTTTTGCTCCATGTACACTGGCGCATCGTTGGACGGAGCTACAAAGCTGAATAATAACTGCTGCGACATCGCCGTGAATTGGAGCGGCGGTTTGCATCACGCCAAAAAATTTGAGGCGTCCGGCTTTTGCTACATCAATGATATCGTGATCGCTATTTTAGAATTGCTTAAGTATCGCGCCCGAGTGCTGTACATTGATATCGACGTTCATCACGGAGACGGCGTGCAGGAGGCCTTCTATCTAACCGATCGCGTCATGACCGTGTCGTTTCACAAGTACGGCAATTACTTCTTCCCCGGTACCGGCGATATGTACGAGATTGGCGCCGAGAGCGGCCGATATTATTCTGTAAATGTACCGCTCAAAGAGGGTATCGACGACGGATCATACATTCAGGTCTTTAAGCCCGTCATATCCCACGTGATGGAGTTCTTTCAGCCGACGGCGATAGTACTTCAATGCGGTGCCGATTCCCTTGCGAACGATCGACTCGGTTGCTTTAGTCTCAGTACGAAGGGTCACGGCGAGTGCGTGAAATTCGTGAGGGACTTGAATGTACCGTTGTTGACTGTTGGCGGAGGTGGTTACACACTGCGAAACGTCGCTCGATGCTGGACCTACGAGACTTCATTACTCGTTGACGAGCAAATCAGCAATGAGTTACCATACACCGAGTACTTGGAGTACTTCGCGCCGGACTTCAGTCTACATCCCGAGGTCGTGACCAGACAGGATAACGCCAACAGTAAGCAGTACTTGGAAGCGATCACACGACACGTCTACGACAATCTCAAAATGATTCAACATTCGCCGAGCGTGCAAATGCAGGACGTCCCATGCGACGCGTTGCCGCCCGAAGAGGAGAGACAACCGGAACCGGATCCGGACTCGCGACAAAATGCACAGGACACGGACAAGATTGTAGAGCCTGCGAATGAGTATTACGCTGGTGACAAAGATCAGGACAAGTTAGATGTAAACGATTCGTGATAAAGACAGTGTAAGAGGCTGTAAAGCTACTCGAAAATATTCAATTCGATCTTTTGTATGATCCACAGATTATACGTGAGATTGGAGAGTTTGATATTAATTAATCGACAAACTGCCAAGAAATGCCGGGAAGTAATCTTTTTTTATCTCTGATTTCAAGATAATAAACTTGATAAACTATTGCTTAGTATGAAATCTGAACTTTTTCGAGATTTTTTTATACATTAGACATGACTAACGAGTATTATTGAATGCAATATAGATGTGAGGCAGATATGACGCAGATATGTAAAAGAATTGTACATATAAATATTCATTTTGTAATAATAAAACATGCATATTTTAGTCAAATCTTGCATAAATTTTCAGTGAACAAACATATAAAATATGCATATGTATCATAGATAACGAAATGTGTTTATTCGATATTGCTATTAAAAGAAGGAATCCATTTCTTAATCGAAGAAGTTGCGCGATACTATATTTTTTAATTAGGATATTTGATCTTAAATATCCATTAGGCAAGTTTATTGTTCTACATCAGACAGTGATATCCGTATTGTCTACAATAGTACAACAACGATGACGAGGACGATATTAATAGCGATAATAGTGTAATAATAGTAATAGCAATAACGATAACGTTTGTATCTCTGTCTTGGGGCTATCTCGCTATATCACAGAGAATTTAACCTTCATACGATATAATTGTTCCTTTTCTTTTTCCCTATCTGTCTACTAAGTAGAAACGCAAAACGATTCTGCCATGGGAGTATGGATGTGGGGGAGGGGGAGGAGAAGCGGATCTCTCCGCTCGGTGAAAGCACACTAAATGCGCGACTAATTACAATAAATTAAATCTCTTAAATTAAGGCGCTTTGTGTTCTGTACATTCGTATTTTGTAAACTCTACAAAAAGTCTCTTTCGAAAAATAATACACATATAAAAATACTCACGGTACGAGGAACGCAAATACTCTTTACGGTTCGATCCACTCTTGCAGAAAAACGGTGCAAAAAAACTACGATGCAGAGACAATGCGTGGTATGCTCTTCGCAAACGCGCTGGGGTTCGCCTGAAGAATATTGCGCATAACTTGCAGAAGACTATTCACGAAGCTTACGGTTATTATTATTCTTCTTTTTTCTCTTTTCTCCTTTTTAAATTTGCCGTCGTCCACGTTCTTTACAAAGCGCGTGCGTATGCGTATATATCCATATATATATATCGTACATTTTACGATTTTACGATACTATATACAGCGCGTACAACAAGGGGATATAATTATTAGGCAGTGCTGATTCAGCGATCCTTGATAAATCTCTGGACAAATCTTTCTGTTTCATATTTCTTTCCTTTCTGTTTTGTCCTACAACATTTGTTTGACTAGATGCTGTTCTCGCTCATCTCATGATTCTAAGAGCATTCGATGGGTACAATTAGAACGTATCTGATAGGCAATATAACAGAAGAGTAATCAGTTACGTTTCGAAATGCTTGTAAATGCTGGTCACGTACGTCATGACCTGTTGCCAATCAGGTCGCTCGAGTTGACACATTTCACCAATGTTCTGTGAAAAAAATAATTTTCGTTAATCAGTCCGCGATATTACGAACGATTCAAGGATAATTTGTCGATTAACTTACCAAAGTAGTAGGTATGCCGACACTCTCAGCAGCAGAGAAGGCGATCGAGAAGTTTCGTCGCTTTTCGACCGGCGTCAACGTGTCGTACGGTACCTTGCGCGGCAAATAGGAGTGCAGAATCGCGCACAATGCTAAACCGTCATTCCAGGAACTACTGAAGTTAGTTATATCGATGTTTCGATAGCCTATCGTCTTATTTTGACACCACTTGAGCAAGGCATTACGTTTGGATCCGCCATTTTTGACTAAACCGCACAGGGGATCCTTGCGCTCCGACAGATCAGTGACGCTGTTTCGACGCACAAAATCGATCGCCTTGGCGTTCAAAGCGGCCGAGTCCAGCAGCTCGCCCGAATTCAAAACCACAGGCGTCGACTTTGTCTCTGCGTTTTAAAAATTGAAATACTCGATTAGACACGGAAAGAATTTCTTTTCCTAAAACGTGTAAGAGTCTTCACATGCTTTTGTATTTTTATATCATACAAACATTTTACGCTTATATAAAATCTTAACTTGAAAATTACCTGATACTGGTTTCTTGGCGATTGTAGATTGCGTCTTATTATTATTGGTCGAATTCGCTGTGCAGATTAAATTATTGATCTGTTGTTGGTCCCTGAGGGGAGCCTTCAAAGAGATAATATCTGTGGTCCCAATTGAATTAAGAGATGATGTAGAACTGCTACGGCTTCCAGGCCCTAAACACGTAAAATAATCTTGTTTTCTTCCTTCAAATCATTGCATTACAATGGCTGTTTTTATTTTCAAAATATTACAATAATTTTAATAAAAAATACATTTTAATGATTTATATAATATTTTATATTTTTTTAGTAATTTAAAAACAATATCGTAAACAACATGTATTACAATTGACAATTAAAACTGTACGAGTTCTAAAAATTGTATTGTACTCACCAGCTTTAGCCTGTTTCGTGGCATTCTCAATGCTTTCGATTAGACATTTCACAGAAAGCCTAGAGTCCTGACGTGTGATATTGGCTTTTCTACGAGCAGCTATCTCCTGCTGCACACTCGTCAACACAGACTGCTGAGTTTCCGTCGGTGTACTGGCTGGCCTTGGAGGAGGCTGTTGTATTATCTTCTGGTTAGCTGAAAGATTTTTAATTTGCTCGTTACATTTATCGCGAATTGTCTCGCGCGCAATTAA